ATCATGGTGATGCATAGCAATGATAGGGGAGAGTGTTGTCCACGTACCCTCGTAGACCGTAAGCGGAAGCGTTATGACAACGCGGTTGATGTAGTCGTACGTCTTCACGATCGACCGATCCTAGTACCGAAAGTACGGCACCTCCACGATCTGCACACATTCAGCTCGGTGACGTCCCACGAACTCTCGATCCAGCTGAGTGTCGAGGGAGAGCTTCGTCAGCACCATGGCGTGATGACGGTGATGATGATGCTACCGTCGCAGGGCTTCGGCTAAGCACTACGATGATATGACCGAGGTGGATTATGGTGGAGGGAGGCACCGCACACGGCTAAAGGATCAATGATCAACTTGTGTGTCTATGGGGTGCCCCCTAGCCACATATATAAAGGATGGAGGGAGGAGGAGGCCGGCCCTCATAGGGCGCGCCCAAAGTGTGGAGTCCTACTAGGACTCCCTAGTCCTAGTAGGATTCCACCTCCCACATGGAATAGGAAAAAGGGAAGGGAGAAGGAGAAGGAAGGAAGGAAGGGGGCGCCCCCTTTCCCTGGTCCAATTCGGACCAGTCCAGGCACGACCACCCTTGAGGCCTTTCTTTCCTTTCCCGTATGGCCCATTAAGGCCCAATACAAATTCCCGTAACTCTCCGGTACTCCGAAAAATACCCGAATCACTCGGAACCTTTCCAATGTCCGAATACAACCTTCCAATATATCGATCTTTATGTCTCGACCATTTCAAGACTCCTCGTCCTGTCCCCAGTCTCATCCGGGACTCCGAACAAAATTCGGTCATCAAATCACATAATTCATAATACAAATCGTCATAGAACGTTAAGCGCGCGGACCCTACAGGTTCGAGAACTATGTAGACATGACTGAGACTCATCTCCAGTCAATAACCAATAGAGGAACCTGGATGCTCATATTGGTTCCTACATATTATACGAAGATCTTTATCGGTCAAACCGCATAACGATATACGTTGTTCCCTTTGTCATCGGTATGTTACTTGCCCGAGATTCGATCGTCGGTATCTCAATACCTAGTTCAATCTCGTTACCGACAAGTCTCTTTACTCGTTCTGTAATGCATCATCCCGTAACTAACTCATTAGTCACATTGCTTGCAAGGCTTATAGTGATGTGCATTACCGAGAGGGCCTAGAGATACCTCTCCGATACTCGGAGTGACAAATCCTAATCTTGATCTATGCCAACTCAACAAACACCATCGGAGACACCTGTAGAGCATCTTTATAATCACCCAGTTACGTTGTGATGTTTGATAGCGCACAAGGTGTTCCTCCGGTATTTGGGAGTTGCATACTCTCATAGTCCGAGGAACATGTATAAGTCATGAAGAAAGCATTAGCAATGAAACTGTAATGATCATCGTGCTAAGCTAACGGATGGGTCAAGTCAATCACATCATTCTCTAATAATGTGATCCTGCTTATCAAATGACAACTCTTTGTCCATGGCTAGGAAACTTAACAATCTTTGATTAACGAGCTAGTCAAGTAGAGCATACTACTGACACTCTGTTTGTTTATGTATTCACACATGTCCTAAGTTTCTGGTTAATACAATTCTACCATGAATAATAAACATTTATCATGATATAAGGAAATATAAATAACAACTTTATTATTGCCTCTAGGACATATTTTCTTCACTTATTGGTCCCGGTTGGTGCTACCAACCGGGACAAAAGGTCCCCTGCTTGGGCAAGGCCCATTTGCCACGTGGAGCCCCATTTGTCCCAGTTCGTAGGCGAACCGGGACTAAAGGTTTTGGGCTTTAGTACCAACCCTTTAGTCCCGATTCCTCAACCGGGACAAATGGGCCTTATGAACCGGGACAAATGAGACTTTTTCTACTAGTGAGGGCAGAGGCCCGACGAGGAAGTGGTGAATCTTCACCGGCTCCGTCGTTAATTTCTAGTTATTTATGTCTCAAGTTAGAACCTGACCATTGTATGTGGATTATGTGAACTTTGAGAGATTCGTCTATGATCTTTTGGTGACCAGAATGTACATGTCTATGTCCGTTTCATAATCTGTCTAATGATCTACGTAATTTACGTTCACGTCGCATGAGTAGTATGAATATAGAGTATGGGATATAAGGAGTGTGGATGTGAAGGACTCAAATTAACGAGTGCTTGGTCAGTGCTCGCGGATGCATCCGAGTGCTTTTGAGGGGCCGAAAATTTGATGACCTTGGTTGTAGCCTTGTAGGTGCTCTTATCTATACCTAATAATAAAGGGGCTATTATTTCTGGCGGTACGTCATGAAAATTACCTCTAAAGAATATTACCCATCAATGCCACATATAAGTGATAAAAAAAGTTTCACACAGAGGAATCCTCCGCCTGGGCCGGCCCATGCAGTAGGGACCTCCTATACTACGCTTTGCGCGCTGCGAGACGAAGCAGCGCGCCCGTTTGGGACGACCCATGTCTGGACGACCTCTTTTTCAAATTTCGTTTTTATTTTTTATTTTCTCTTCCTTCTAATTTTTCTCCACTTTAAATAATTTGGTACTTAAAAAAGTTCCAAATTTTTTTAAAAATGAGAATTTTGAAACAAAATGTTTAATAAATCATAAAATGTTTGTGGATTCAAGAAATGTTCATGATTTTATAAAGAAATGTTTGCTTATCAAAAAAATCGACATTCTGAAAACAAATATTCGGGGAATAAAAAATGTTTATGATTTTTTAGAAAGTTTGTGTATTAATTTTTTTAATGAAGTCGAACAAAATTTCACCAATTCAAAAAAAGTTCATGAATGGAAAAATATCCTGGAAATTAAAAAATTGTTCATGGCTTACAAAATAATTTATTCATTCAAAAAATGTTCCCTAATTCTAAAAATGATCATGCATTTCAAAAAATATTTGTTAAATAAAAAATGTCATGAATTTGAAAAATTGTTCCACCAATTCCCATAAAAATGTCCGTTGTTCTAAATGTTTGATGATTCAAGAAAATTGTTTACAAAAATGTTCACAATTTCTAAAAGAATATTTTCAAATAATATAGAATGTTCATGAATTCAAAAAATGCTCTTGATTCTAGAAATGTTCGAAAATTTGTATAAGTGTTCATGAATTTAAAAAATATTCACGATTTCAAATATGTTCACGAGTTTAAAATGATTCATGATTTCACGAAATTGAGAGTGATATTGTATCTCGATAATGTAGCAAAATTTGGTGATGTCCATTGAAGATTATAACATTTTTTCTTCCATATACGGAATTACGCCCAAAATGCCACCGCGTCCTCCCAGAACGATAGGAAAAAATAGGGTAGCGCAGCTCGCCCTGTATTCCTCTCGTCCCTCTCCTCTGCAGTCTGCCTAGGTTTCACCGCCGCCCCCGGCCCCGCCTCCAGCCGCCTTTCTCCAAGCCGACGACATGGACGCCGGCGGTGCTGGGTAGACGCGCCCCTCCTCTGTCCCGCGCGACGGCCGCACATCAACCGCCACGTCGTCGGCTGCTGGAGCTCACTCCTCAGGCTGGCCGGGCTGAACCGCTGCGGCAAGAGCTGCTGCCTGCGGTGGATCAACTACTCCCGCCCCGACCTCAAGCGCGGCTGCTTCTCGCAGCAGGAGGAGGACCACATCGTCGCGCTCCACCGGATCCTCGGCAACAAGTCTGCACAACTGCATATTTACAGTCCAATGCGTTCAGTTACAAACTTACAATTGCAATTTTTCAGTCAACCTTGCGTACGATTTTGCAATGCGCGGAGATCGTTCGTGCAGACCGAGTGAACTGAAAGATTTGGGACAACATGTATACTGATGCGTGTGTGCGTACAGGTGTCTTGAGACAGTAAATGCCTGTTAATTTTTTTTAGTGTATGAACAAGATTAGTGCTGCTATATGAGTGTATATATTTATTGCTATATGAGTGTATGAACAAATTTTGTGCTTGTATACGATGTTCTGCCATGAAGGAAGAATAGATAGTGTGCGTCTGACCTTGTTTAATTTCTGCAATTCTTGTATTTGTTGCTATATGAGTGTGGGTCTGACCATGAACAAGATTAGTACTGCCATGAGACTATGAATTGCCATGGTTATGTAGGACTCATGATGTACTGCCATGAGTGTATGAACAGATTACATGGACATTACAGACTTTTCATAGGGTATATCAGAATTAAACTGGAGGGATAGGAACCGGAAGGAGCTAGCTGGCTTATTCTGAGGGACTTATTTCCACAGGAGATTATCTGAGGCTTATTTTACATGAGCTTATGCATAAACCATACCTCAAAAGAATTGGCCCTTATTGTGTTAGCGAAATCGTATAGGTTATGGATGGATAATGTTTTTGTTTGTGATGCAAAATCTGATAGGTTCTAGATTTTGTTTTCCGTTGCGTTCTGCTTGTAGTCATATGTGAGCGAAAACAAATTGATTATTTACCGGTGTTTGTGTTGTCGAGAGATGTTGGCTGAATCTGTTGTCAGAATCTGATTGTGATTGCGCTTCTTTTGGCTCACAACCTGCAACCGTTTGCAGTCCTAGCTATAGTGCCGCATAAACTCCAACAACCGTTTGGATAATATTTTTGTTCTTCTTATAGTCGTATCTGGGAAAAATTGGATTGATTATTTACTGGTGTCTGTGTTGTCGAGAGATGCTGGCTGACTGTTGTCAAAATCTGACCGTGGATGTGCTGGTGCTGTTGTGCTTCTTTTGGCTCACAACCTTCAACAGTTTGCAGTCCTAAACATCGCAAAGGGTATGACGAACTTATCAATTTTCAGATCATCCGAAGTGTGTCAAAGTGCGTTGACTTAACAGTAGTGCCGTACATGGCAAAAATAGAAGAAAACAAATGACGGGTGGCATTTTCATAAATAGCACTAAAGCAATGTCATTGAGCAAGTTTGAGTTCTGACTAGTAGCATTGTAATAATATTTCTACTTGTTAGAACTCAGCTGACAAGTCTTATTCCTTCCCAGGGGGAAACGGGATGACAAGTGTTGGAGCAAGCATAGCCACCAACCAACACCGTTGCAGTGGGCGCGGCGCTCAACAAGCCTATGTCCTGTGCTGGGAGTCGCTGAATGCTGATTTGCTGAGGCTGATCGCTGACCGGGTACTCTCTAGCGACCTGCTGCACTACGTCTGGTTCCGTGCAGTGTGCAAGCAGTGGCGTGCCAACACTCTTAGCCCGCGCGGCTGCGGCGTGGTAGACCCGCGCTTTCACCCACGGCAATGGATGATGTTTCCGGAGGGCAACGGGCTTCACCCCGGCCACCCTGCATTAGGCGGCTACATCTGCTTCCTCAACATCTACACCGGCATCTTCATCCGCGTGCACCTCCCGTGCTTCGAGGACCACTCCGTGCTTGACTGCCCTGACGGCCTCCTTCTCCTGCAGCGCAAGAAGGATGCTGTTATCTGCCTCCTCCACCCCTTCACCGGTGATGTTGCCGAGTTTCCTCCCCTTGCCTCCCTCTGCTTGTACATGAGTAAGTTTGGGATCTTTCTGAATGGCCCTTATGATCTTCGACTACGGATGGTCCACGCGGCTGTCTCCGTCCATGTGGGTGGCAGTATTACCATCATGGTCGCGCTCAGCCACGCCGAGCGCATGGCGTACGTATCCACCGGTGACAAGCACTGGACTCACACAAGCTGGATGATGACTGGCATGATGACAGCACTGCCATTCCGTGGCAGCCTCTACACGGTGAGGATCTGGAAAAACAAACCCTCACACATCATGCGCGTCAATCCACCAGATAGCTCCAGTTCCTCCTCGTGGCCGTCTACACCGCCACAAATGATCGCCACATGTCCAGCTAATCAGATGGCTAAGGCTTACCTGGTGGAGTGCAATTCTGAACTTCTTCTGGTCGGCTATACTGACAGACACTCCCAGCTTGTGGTTATCCGGCTTGCTGACCTCATGCTCGGAATCCCTGCCACACCATTGACAAGCATCGGCGACCATGCCCTCTTCATTGGCACTTGGAGCATGGCCGTCAACTCCAGAAACTTACCATTCGTTCAGGGGAACTCCATCACCGTCCTCAACCCAACTAACAGCGGCCGACTGTGGCAATATGATCTGGGCAGAGGTACCTGGTCGCCGCTGTGCGATGGAAACTTCGTCAGTGCCAGCGGCCCCATACCAAGGCCATACAGTCTTGTCCACCACATTGTCAGTTGTTGCCAGCGTCTTTACTGGATCAGTGGAGACACCTGGACCCGCCACCATGATTCTGAACCTCGTTGGCATATAGTTGCTTCAGCACATGAAAGAGTTTGCACAGTCTGCACTGACCAGTTGAAGGCTATTCATCTTTCCAAGATCTACGTTTGAATGTCTCTGCTTTGCAGGTTATCAAACTGCTTCCTGTGGTTTAGGATGTACTGTATTTTGGCTGTGTGTTTGCCTCTACACTTTGTCTACTTTTGTTAAGACATTTGAGTCTAACTCGGATGAATTTGGAAATATGCTGGGCGGCCTTTATCATTCTGCCGTTCAGCTGGGAAATACTGCACACTGTGGTACTCTGAATTTAACTCTTGAATCTTGATGACGCTGAATTGCATATTTTTGTCACGCTAGGTGCTCTAAACTGCGTACGTAGAGTTCTACTCCCTCCGTTCCAAATTACTCGTCGTTGCAGAAATGGATGTATATAGAACTAAAATACATCTAGATACATCCATACCTGCGACAAGTAATTCGGAACGGAGGGAATATATTTGACGCTGAAATTTAACTGTTCAAGTAAGAACTTAACTCTGGAACATCACCGAAGGGCCTCCCTTGGAATAAGCTTCTTGTTTCCACGCTAGTTTCACAAGAAAAATATGCTGCCACTTGCTTCATGTACCTTTGCAATTTCAGATCGCCTTGTGATGCTAAGCAGTACAAGGAATTGGACAATAAATTGTAAAATACATTCTTGACTTCGTGGTGCAGTGCTACTCTATTGCATTAAATAGACAGACAACTATCAGTTGCTAATATTCAAAAGCACGAAAATCTGACACATTAATAGGCAAATTTATGAGCGAAGTGCATCATAGGTCCTCGAACTATTTCAGAGGTGTCACGTAGGTACTCGAAGTATGAAAATCGTCATCCATGTCCTCAAAGTGCAATATGTGTGTCATCCTGGTCCTCAAACTATTTCAAAGGTGTCATGTAGGTCCTTGAACTATTTCGGAGGTGTCACATATATACACACTTATTACAGTTCAAGGATTTTTGAGGACCTAGATGACACTTTTCATAGTTTGCGGACCTACATGACACCTTTGAAATAGTTTGAGGACCTAAGATGCACTTCATTCAAAATTTATTCTAGATAATGCTGGAAAGCGAACACAGGATTGAATAATTCTTGTCTTCTGCTTGATGATGCACCAAGCAAGAAAAAAAAACAGTTCATGTGAGTATAAACAAATCCAACTGATTCAAATAACAAAGCATCGGGTCCATTAAGCTTTTATTGCCCAACGAATGCTCCAGGAGGTGGAAGCCAAGCGAAGAAGGCACAACAATCAAAAATTAAAATTAAACACTAAAAAATAGTGAGTACAATGAGTCATGTGCATGTCACAAGCACCAGCACTGTTATCATGATTAAAAATTATTCTTTTCAAAAGAATAAGAATTGTTTAATTCGTATTGGTTGGGGTGCGCCTTCCTTGGGATGTAGTGCAACGCCCAAGCGACACGTGAGGGCCTTAATGGCAAGCCACTATGGAGAACCTTTCCCACAAAAAATAAATTTAATATCGTTGTGGGCACATGGCCCACATATCAGATATTAAACTGATAAGAACAAATACTACACTTGATCTTAGCCAAAAGGCCGAGAAAGGTATGCTTCAAAACATTAGCCTGGGTCTACTTTTATAACATCTTCAGCCGTTGTGCTTCCTTTGGCTAGTGAGGTGGTACTAAACGTCTTATTTTCTTTTTTGAGAAATACTCCCTCCGGTTATTTTTACTCTGCATATAAGATTTATCAGAAGTCAAACTTCATAAAGTTTGATAAACTTTGTAGCAAAAAACACCAACATTAACAATATGAAATCAGTATCCTTAGATGCAACATGAATTTAATTTTCATATTATATAACTTTAATATCGTAGATGTTGACATTTTTTTAATATAATAGCAAAAAGGCCCGTGCGTTGCAACGGAAAAAAATCATCTCGTATCTCTAGCTAGGTTAGTTGGACAAACTGTGCGTGGTCAGTTGGCAGGTTATGTGATCGAACCCTCCCGTCGGCAAATTTCTTTTGCCAGCTCTCCGGACCTGGGCTACAGTGCGTCCTCAGATGGGCTTCCTCCGTTGGGCCAAACGGGTGGCAAATAATGAAACCATGCAAATAGCTTACGTGAAATTAATTGAAGCGGGATGAAACGAAGCGGGACGAAACCAAGAATATCACCTCTTTTTAATAGTAGGTAAATATAAATAGAAATATGGTCAAAGTTTAGGATGCTTGACTTCAGATAATTTTTATATGCGAAATAAAAAGGACAGGAGGTACTGGAGGGAGTACCTGTCTCTCGTGTTCCCTGCTGTTTCAACCGTAGCAGCCCAGAGATGCCTGGAAGGCCCAACAGCGTGGATTCTTAATTCTCACACTCATGGCCCAATAACTTGGAAAACTGATAAAAGCAAAGGCTTCGTCATTCTTGTACATGACGTACATCAGAAGATTGCACATAACAGAACATCTCCTTTCTTCTTCTTTTTGAACTGAAACATGTTCGTAGCCCTTGCTTTTGTGAAGCTCATCTCCTTTCTTGTGGGTCTGATGTGCGGCATACAAACTGCATAAATACTGCAGCGTCTATTTATCGCATTAAGCGACCGCTGCGGGTATTGGTTCATGCTATCATGTTCGATTGATCAAGTGGTTTTTAGTCCAGAGCAATACATCGCAAAAATTAAGTGTGTGTAAGTGGGGGCGGGAAGTCCTTCGTCTCCGCTGAGGGGTTATTCGTCTGGTGGAAGCAACAATCACATGAGGAGGTTCAAGGCGCCAGAGGCAGATCTGATGCTGATTAGCAAGTGGTGCATTAGTGGTTCCTGCCGGCTTCTAGCACCATGGCAACGACTTCAGTGGTATGGTGGATGCCACAGTGTGACCCACACCGATGTGGAGTGGCGGGGGCCAATCCTGCTCTGAGATATGGGCATCCACCTGGCGGCCCTGGCGGTGGTCTAAGGCGAGAAGATGCACCACCAATCTACTAGTGCTTTTTGGCCCTCGTGTGAAGTGCCAGCCGAAGTGACCATTGAACGATCCATCATCAAGATTCTGACGAGAACACCTCTTCACGCACAGAGGTGAAAACTCTCGTCCTGACCTTTATTGGTCTCATCTAGCAACGACAAGTTGCGTCATTAAGTAGTTGAAGACGTCGTCTAGTTGTTGTGATGATATTCATTGACCGATCTTGGCGACGAACTCCTCCCAACAGTAGCTCCTCCACCATCGCCATTTTTCGACCCGCCTTATGTAAAAGCCGGGCAGGTTGCGCTCCGCTGCTTCCTGGACTGTGGCAATGCCATGGGCTTGGAGTTCGAGGATGATGCCTCATACTACCTCCGCCTCAACATCACCACCCCCGCCATCCACCTCGCTTCGCCGCTCTACATCAACACCACTCCAACCGTCGCCTTGATGCCACTATCGTCGCCGCCCTGCTCTAGGCTGTTCTTGGCGGTGCTGCCGCTGACTTCTTCGTTGCCCAATGCTCTCCCCTCGTATATCGCTTCCATGTGGCTTCTGCGCGTATACCAGAGATCATCCTCGCACAATCCACACTTCGCTTCCGCGCTTACTCCTTCTCTTTCTTGAGAACTCTGCCTCCGATCCCACCTTCTCCTCCCCACACTGCCACATGCATGCCGTTGACTCACCTGCTCCAAAATCCAGAGGATCCGAGTCTTCACTTTGAAAGCGTAGCTTGGACACAATGTCGCTCGCTCGTCTCCCAGCCTCCACCAAACCAACCGCATGGATGCCGCATGGATGCGCGCGGCATTCAGTTCCCATTCGCCCTTGACGCCATCACGATGGGTCTCATCCTAGCTTGCCTATTCGGCGGACCCACCACCAATTCAACGTCACGCATGACGGAGATTCCTACTTCTCCTTCACAGTGGCCTCGCCTGCCGTTGCCGCGCTCATCACTTCCATGGGTGACTTTCATAAGCTGGGCATCCTGCTTCGCTTCCCTTGGCCCGTGCCTATGGGGCGTGCTTCATGCTCACCACCGGGGACGGCCTTGCCGTCATCTAACGGGCGTACGTCATCCTCGCCGCCGGCAGCCGATCCTGCTCTGCTGCCACCTGCGTCCACAACTATTGTTCTCTCAAAGGAGCATCGTCAACGGCCGGGTATAAACTTTTTCTATCACATGTTTAATGTTCTTCGCTCTTGCCAGCTTACACCACATGCAAATTACGCCCATCACACGCATTTGTTTTAGGTCACCTTCCTACCTACTAAGGTTAGACCTAATGAACTATTAGTAGAATCTGCCCTAAACCACTGCTTTTCGGTCAAACAAGATTTTCTAGCAGTCAAAGTTCATGAACATGTGTACAAGTCTGGCGTCCTCTCCCGATCAATTAAAATTCAAATCCTCAGCCTAGGGTCCATAGAATTTGAAGGATTTCGGATCTTCCTCTTTGACCAGCTCGAACAAGCCGTTGCTCACTGTAGTCGTTTTGTCCATCATTACACTAAGTTTGCTTACCCTACATTGCCCCCTCGACCAGAATCCATTCTTGGCCCATTCGAGCGTCGGCATCTCTAGACCCGCATGACGTTGCAGCCCACCGCGATCTCATGCTTGCACCACGTCCCCCCTACGGCGCATGCACCGCTGGCCCACCCCATGCATCATGATGGCGGTGCGGCGCCCCCTGACCCACCAAATCTATCAAAAGATCCGTACGCTGCACCTGCCTCGGCGCATGAGGATGGAGCTGGTGCGAACCCCCAGAACCCTCTCTCTGTCTCTCTGTCTGTGCCAATTTTGGACGAGTTGCTTGCCCGCCCCGCATCTAATCCGGGCACGTCCGCGCCGCCCCCTGTCGCCCCACGCGTGTCCCCGATGAGCATATATGCAGCGACTCTCGCCTTGGGAACCGACAAACCGACGAGCCCGCACGCCTGCCCGTCGCCACAGTCCCCTCCCGCCACCCATGACCAGCATCTAGACCTCATGATCAAGCCTACATCCCCCTGCCCAGCCTACGACGGCCGCTCGGTCACCACGCCACTGCTCGTCGCCCCCTCGCTCCCTGTCACACGCAATGGACCCAGACGCCCTA